ATCTACATTTATTCTCGATTAATATAATAAAAATGCAGATGCGTTATCACCCTTGAGGACTAAGATGGAACTGCAGTAAAAAGGGGTCCCCGGTTCTCTACACTCACCATACAAAACACAACAGCATTAAGCTGTTATTTTACTGTATAATACTTTTGGAACAACAATCAGCTTAATTCCCAGAAATTATTTAAATTGCGACTTCGATAGAAAAGGGCTAAGACAGAAAACTTAGAAACTGATTCCGAAACACAAGTTACAGATGTTTGAAAACTGTTCAGCGAGCTAATAAATGTAGAAGTATCAATAATACATGTCACAGATGTAAACGTAAAGGCCACCTGGCACGAGAATGTTTAGATTAATAATTCATAATTCATTTATTGCATGTCATAAAGAATAAATATTTCATCTTAACTATTGATCATTTTTCATTCATGTAAATAAGATTTAAAATTTTTATGAAATTATTAACAATGTCAAATAAGTAACTAGAAATAATACATTTTGTCAAAATAATTTAAATTTATAATTTATCATTAAAATATTCATTCAAATTTTAATAGCTTTTTATATTAAGCATTTTCTTAAGTACTATTTAAAATTTACGACACTGGAGGGCTTTTATAGTATTAGGTAAATGGTTGTAAACCCTTATAGCCATGCAGTAGGGACCATTTTTAAATATTGTGAGATGTGCGGTAGGAGCAACCAGGTTATAACCACGGCGACGTGCGCCGTATCGGTTGGATCTATCCCCAATTCGTTGAAAATAATAAGGATTTTTCCTAACAAAGCGGCATAATTCAAAAATATAAATGCACGTTACTCTTGGAGCTACGAATGTAATGATTCTAAGGCAACGTTTTTGGAGCACGGATACCGCGTGCACCTCGGTAGAATTGCTCTAGAATATGATGCCGTATCTGATCCAGGCAGCGGCGTGGCTGTGGTACGCAGTAGGTAAGTGCACACTGCTCGTTCATGTGTCCTTACATAGCTCGTGCAGGGCATACCAAAGGCTGCTCAACTTACTTACTACGGTCTCTATATGATTTTTCAATGAAAAAGTTGAGTCTATTGTTACTCCTAGGAGCGAAATTGTACGAACTTCCTCAATATTTATACCTTGGTAAGATATAGCGAGTGGAACTTCTAATCTCTGATATGGGCGAAACTGCCTAACAATAAACCTAATACGTCCAATTCATCCACAATTTTGCTAAGGCAGTAAGGTATATTTTCCTGCAAACTAGTGAGATTTTTTTATTCACAAGTAATTATAACTGTCGCATCATCTGCAAACAAAACGACTCTATATGGTACTACAGAAGGGATTTCGTTAATACACGTAGCAACATCAACAAGCATCCTAGGACGCTACTCTGCGGTATAGATCCTTTTACTGTGGCAGTGGACGAGTTTATTTAATTTATGATTCTTCTATTTTCATATAAATGGGATATCTGTACGTACTGTTTTCTATTCGCAAGATAAGAAGCGAGCCATTCGTGCGGTTTCCCTCGTATTCCTAGCGAAAATAGCTTTTCTAGCAAGGGACCATGAAACAGGCGATCGTATGCTTTGGACATGTGCATAAAAATAGCTACAGCACATCTTCCCTTTAGAGCATTAAGAATTTCTAAGATGATATTAAATACAGCGGATGTGGTAAAATGATCTTTGCGGAAGCCTTGCTGATATCTATTAAAATGCTGTATTTAAAAAAAAAATTATATATTGTACAACAAATTATTCCCTCAATTTTTTTGAAATTGCAGACAGTAATGCGATGGGTCGATAATTATACACATTAGTTTTATCACCTTTCTTAAAACAGGTTTTATCACGGCTAATTTTAGATTTTCCGTAAAAGCGCCATCCTCATACGATTGATTTATAAGAAAAGTTAAGGGTTTTACAAACTCATCTTCGCAATATATCAGTAAGGTACTGGGGATTTCATCATATCCACAAGAGTAGTTTTTTTTTTAAGTCGCATTATTGTTCTTTTTACATCAGCCTCTGTAACACTACCCAGATACAGTGAATTTGACAAGGATACTCGAGATGGCTGTTTATTTAGAGAGCAGCATTTTTTGAACTTATTTAATAATTATTAAATAAGTTTGCACCTTTACTGGGAGATGTTAGTAGTGTAGTTGTACCACTTCTAGACCACCTGAGTCAGACGTGGTTCAACGTGGACGCCCGATCCTAAAAAAAAAAAAAAAAAAAAAAAAACAAAGGTTTTGGCATGCTCTGATCACGAATCCGCGGTCCATTTTTGTGTAGAATGCACGGTTCCGGAGATGTGTAGATCAATTAGCTAATATCTAATTGATATCCGGTAAGGGCCTCCACCGTCATTAGCGTCCCATTGTTCCTATTTCTATTGTTCTATTGTTCATTAATCACCCTCATTGCAGCGTGTGCGTCGACTATATCAGTGCTATTGTTTATTATAATTCTTTGTTTATACAACGCTAATCTGAATCATCAATAAAACACATTACATAATTTTGTTACAATTTTTATTTATAAAATACAAAATCTTATTAATTATTATCTATAAAATAGGAGCGAAACATCTCATCCACTAAAATATCGTTGTACAATGTGTTCCTTGTAAATATACTCGTAAAACTATGTATTGAACATCCTTGAAACTTATATAGTAAATACATTAAGCAATATTCGCCACAAACTGAAGTCCACTCATTCTGAATCCTATCAACATTCCAGTTCCATCTTTTACAATTCCTTTTTAAAAACTCTAGATGATATCGTACAGGTGATCGTCCATATGAATCAAAATATTGACCGACGTCATTCGTATCGATATATAAAGCTACCCAATGTGACCCTGGTTTATCATCTGTATCCAAATTACATATTATATACGTTGGTACGTGGGTATACATAGGCAGTCTATTAGCTGCATAAACATTATTTTCTAGACTGGGGTGAATCTTTTTCAGATGTTGTTGTACATCTAGTGTATCCATGATATTACTGCTATTAGTAGATTATTACAGTACCTAGCTACTCAATGAATAATATAGGAATGGTCAATTATAGTGATTTCTACATATTAAATTGCATTTTTGTGATATACAAATCGTACTTGAGTCATTGATCACCAAACAAAACACAATACGAAGAAATGTTGAGATAGGCAACGGAAATGTGAGATAAACTGATATGTTTCTAAATATTAAATTGCATTTTTGTGTTATACAAATCGTACTTGAGTCATTGATCACCAAACAAAACACAATACGAAGAAATGTTGAGATAGGCAACGGAAATGTGAGATAAACTGGTTGACGCATAAAGTAATTATCAACTCATTACGGAAATACTTTAGATTAGAATTTTTACGTACTGGTGGTATATAAGACCAACAAACGCAGTCATCGAGTTAGTGTACGGTCGTTTGGCTACAGTGGATCTATCAATAGTACATTTGTGTTACTTCAATACACCAAAGGCTATGGATGTAAGTGTTTATTCTATTGACTAAATTACTTTTTTTCTGTTATTTTCATGTGTGTGTGTATTATTTTATTTAAATATTGTGTATGTATATGATTAAGCCGTGGTAACTCAGATGGTTAGCGCTAGCTGTAAATTTCACAGTACGCGACCCGGGTTCGATCCCCGCCAGCACCAATTAAATTGTTAATAGCAATTTTAAGTGCTTATTACCACGTGCTTGGTGGTGAAGGAAAACATCGTGAGGAAACCTGCATGTCTGAGAAAATTTCGAAGGCATGTGAAGTTCACCAACACACATTGAGGGAGCGCGGCGGACATTTCCCTGCTCTAAAACCCTCTCAGAAATGAGAGGAGGCCTATGTTCAGCAGTGGACTTTAATAGGCTGTAACTTTAACTTTTTTAACTTTTATGATTAAGTGTTAACAAATTGATATTAACATGATAACTGTGTTGTTGCAGAAATCATTGAGCTTCGATGAAGATACCTATAAACAGTATTACTACTCGCCACTCTCCCCTCAAGAAGAGAGTGATAACCTCGTCATTAATAATAACACATGCGATGGTGGAAAAAGAAAATCGCAATCGATTGATCATTTTTTTGAAGCTGAATCAAAAATAAAAAAGAGGAAGCTGTTATCATCAACCGTAGCACGAGCCGCTAGAGATGGTGTATCATACATTTCTACTAATTCTGACGACGGAGACCAAGCGACGCATCTCATCAAAATTGAAATGTACGATATGAAGAAGCTATCCAAGATTCCAACTACTGATCATTGGAAACATGCTTCCACGAGAATTAAATATTACGTAAAGACTAATAAGGATAGCATCTACGACAATACAAACGCCCTCGTATACAATATAACAAAGACAATAGCAGAAAGTGAAAAAGTTAAAAAATACTTTTTTAACAATGACAGTCATTAGCTGATCATTAGTGAATGTGATTCTGTTTACTTCAATTACAGGAAGACAAGAGCGGAAGGAAGAGATGAGTGTGGCATACGTGTACAAAACACATCATTGAATAACAAAACTACAACACTGAGTGGAGAAGAAAACGAGAAGAGTATGCAGTACTCAAGAGCTGAATATCCATTCTTCAATTCAAAATCTAGCCGTTTGCTTAGTTTCGAAAACTGGCCTCTAGTTATGCGACAGAAACCTGAAGATCTTGCCGAAGCTGGTTTCTTTTATACTGGCCATGCAGACTGGACCAAGTGTTTCCATTGTGGTGGTGGTTTAAAAGATTGGGAAGATGATGATGATCCTTGGCAGCAGCATGTTCAGTGGTTTAGTCAGTGTGCTTATGTAAAATTTCAACTCGAACAGTGTTTTGTATTAGATTAAATAGAAGATTTATAAAGAAATAAAAAAAATATATTGCATACAATTTGTTTTATTTAATTTTATAACGTTTCACATAGTTACATACACACAAAATGCATTACACATAACACATAAAATCTAACACACAACACATATTATAACCTTAACTACTATAGTCTACAGTAACATTTCTGTTTTTATCTATCTCAATAATATTATCAAACTCAGCATAAACTATACAGTTAATTGTTTGTATTAATGAGGATTCAAATCGTACTTCTATTCTTACACTACCATGCTTTATGAGATTCCAATGAGTTGATGAGTTAGCTGATAAATCAGGAGTTAAGTCAAATGCTAATAGACAGTAACCTTTGCCATACTGTTCACAAGAGATTCCATTTCCTTCATTAAGAAAGTGAATACCAGTTCCCGAGAATAGAGTATGATATGCTGATGTAAATATGCTATTATTAAAAGATGGTTGCAAAGCTTTTGAAGGTATTTGTTGACCATCAATATATAAGCTGAAAGAATTAATACCATAGTTTTCAAAGTTAAATGGATTTTTAGTAAGGGAACCATTAAATGCAGAATTGTTCACAAATCCAATTATACATCTTTTCGGTACCTGTCCTAAAAATATATTATCAAGAGTTTTTCCTTGAACACCTGAAGGAATTGTTAAAACTTTTACTTCAGCTCGAGTAATAGGATATTTAGCAGTGGTAGAAGCTAAAACTTTTTGATGTGCGAGTAATACACTTGGATTAATTCGTGCTCGTCGCACAATAAGAGTTGCGTCCGTAATGCAAACTTTAAACTTTACGTCGTTCGACCCAACAATTAAATTAAAACTCTCTCTTGATCGAACCAATTTAACACTCATTTCAACACCATTAATTAAAAATTTATCTTGGTTAAAAATGTCACCGTGAAGATGACCAATCATTTCTATTTCCTTACTTTCACTAATCAATTCCTGTCTTTTAACAAATCCTATGTTTTTACCATCTGTAGAATCCATTTTTCCTGCTGTATCCTCATACCAAAGGCTACAAGTAAGATGAGATTGTTTAGCAGCAGGGGCATAGTTTAAAAGGGTTTCCATGTATGCTCGATATGCATAGGTATTATTAGGTGGTGATACAAGTTTTTGGTTTAAATAAACATCAAGTTGACTAAAAAGTGAATGCAGCCAATTATTTACAGGTGCTACTATTGTAGTAGATACCAAGTTAGTTGAATCTTGATTTAATACTTTTGCCTTTATGTGGAGTAATGTATGAGACAAATCTATGTAGTCATCGCCGGTCCCAGGAACTTGAAACTCGATAGGTCCATCATCACCAAGAGATGAAATTGGTTTATAATGAATCCACAATCCATTTTCAATGCTAGTTTGTGTAGACGGTAGTGCAAACAAATCCAATTCTGACTTAACGCACTCGCAAGAATGATTATGAAGGAAAGACATATTTAGTTTGAAAATATATCTTTGATATTTTTTGGTTTTAGACTAAGTTTTTTCGCAGCTTTCACTTTAGCAGTTAATGGTGGAATGAACGATGTCAATCGTTTTCTTTTAGTTTTATACCCAGATCCAGTCATGTTAAATTGATCAATTTTCTCATCAGCCTTTCGTTTTAAATTCGTACTAACTTGCTTTAGACGATCTTTTATTGAGGCTTCCATAGGACGGGCTTGAACCATATCCGATAAAAGTCCTACTCCAGCGCTTAATGCCTCCTTACCAATCACTCGAGCACCACTTGAAAGTAAAGGTAAAACTGATCTGAATAACCCCCCTAAGAAGCTCCCAATACCATGACCGCGTTGATATGGTGAACCCTTATAAATTACTCCAACTCCTGATCCAGCTTGATGTGTATAATAATTTTCATATGGACATTTATGATGATCACGAAGAGAATTCATTATTATAATTTTCGGAAATGTAGTTTAATACACACGGTTCCAAACTGGAATGGTATTTTTTGTCCTGTACTCGATCTTATAACTATTTCCAACGTATCGAACTCTCTTCGCATAACAGGTAAGTAGTGAGGTTGAGAGAAAACGTGCATTTTATTTGCACCATAAATGTATTTTGTAGGATCTAATGAAATGACTCTTAATAAAGGAGTCATAACATCACCCACAATCTGAGGATCGATAATGTCGCAATATAGAAATAGTTGAGATGGTAACCCTAAGTGTAAATTAGCAGGACACTTTCCAAAATTTCTCTCTAGGAGATTTTTATTTGGTTCATAACCTAGCTGTAAACTTAATTTGGGTGATAATGTTACGGATGTTATATTTTTATCCAATACCGAAATAGACACAAATTTTGTTATTTCATCATAGCGAAATTTCAAGTTCTCTCCGATACCATTTAACACTCTTAAAATATGCTCAACGTTATCATAGTTGGTAGCTGGAATATGTTTTTTGTAGTACACTGTGGATGGCTTATCTTCATTAGGCATTAACATAGATTTTGTAATGTATATAACATTTTCATGGTCTTGAACAGTAAACATGGTACATGGATATTGAAACTCGACAACTCCAACCGACCATTCACCTTCTAATTTTATAGCTTTTGGTAATTTCGTTGAAAAATTTGTGGTCTTGTTATCAGGAAAGTATTCCATTGAACTATTGCTGAGCAAAGTTAAATAGAAACTTTCTTTATTCATATTTCTTTTAAACTAGAAGCTAAAATCCAACTGTTAAATTTATCTGGATAACCTTTCCACTTCACTAATACTTCTTTTCTGTTACTTGAATAACGAGTGTCAATTATTTTATCTATTTTATGTTGTGAGGTGGGGTTGTAAGTGATTTTCTGTAATTCTCTTTCATAAAAAGTACCAATTATTGGTTCATTTTGTAAATCTGTTATTGTATAAACAACCCATGGAGATCTATCAATTATTGAAGATATAATAAATATTTCATCACTCCAATTTGATTCATATCCTTTTTGGAATACATGTTTATATTTAGTTATTCGAACATAATCACCCACATTGAAATTTGGTTTAGGATTTTCTAAAGAAAGTTTTTTTGACCGTCTATCATAAAGATTAGTCCAAACTGTCATAATATTGTTGGAATTTACATCACATGGGCACATCTTAATACTAGAGTGAAAGCTGTGATTATAAGAGTATATTAAATCTTGTAAAACATCTATATATCTATAAGTATTATTATGAGTGAAATAACGCCACATTTTCATTTTTAGTGTTCTTTGAAATCGTTCAACAATACTGGCCTTAATGTCAGGATTGTTAGTGGTATAGTAATTAATCTTTTTGGATTTAAAGTATTTTTGTACATCTTTTGAAACAAATTCTGTACCTTTATCGGATTGTATGTGAGTAGGTGTTAAATTACTTTCAGTAAATATACTTTCAAAACATTCTTTAGTTGTTTCTGAGTTTTTCTTTTTCATTGGTCTTGCAAAAGCATATTTACTAAATACATCAATAATACAAAGTATATACTTGAAACCATCATTATATTGAGAATAAGTTCGCATATCACTTAAATCAGCTTGCCACAGTTCATTAATATTTGATAGAATGTACCTATTACGCGGGAATTTTTTTCGAATGGGTTTATGTAATGTGTATGTTTCTTGTGATTTTAACCATTCCTTTACTTGCTTTTTATTCATTTTACCCTTCATGGCTTTTGATAATTTATCAATACTACCAAAACCAGCGGGATTAGATGGATCATAATAAATCCTGTTAATTTCTTCTAGTACGGAGTCCATTTTTCCCACTCAAGTCCTTTACGTATTTTAGTTGTAGACTTTTTATCTCTACTGCACGGTGTAGAAAACTCTTGAACTTCAATCTCAGAGGGTTTGTTCAGATCTTTTGCTTGAAGTTGGTTAATAAACTCACATCTCCTTGGATTTCCAATATAAGTAAGTGGCACTTTAATATCTTTTAATGCTTCAGCAAATCTAACCCACCCTACCGGATCACTTCTTTTTAGGGGTCTTAGTGAATCATTTATTAAATCAACAATATTACTTCCAGGAATTTTTTCACTATCAATTATGACTGTACCTTCGTTATCCCAATGTATTTTACTTTTACTTGTTTCAACTAAGTTTAATAATAACTGCCCTTTTTTATGATAAGTTTTTGGTATTAAACTGAGTATTTGAGCTGGTGTGTAAAGTGGATTTTCATCATTTTATTTACTTTTAATGGATCGATTCTCCTCCAGCAAAGATTCAATATCAACTGAAGTTTTTAGATCTCTATCTTTATTTTTAAAACCAATTTTTGACTCATTTGAATCTTCATTAGATGTATCAGAATAAATTGGTAATTTGAGTGGTTGACGATCCTCTTCGGTAAAATGAAGGTATCTTTGCAGTGTTTGTAAATATAATATCCATTTCTTTCGGTCTTCCGTCTTACTATTCATAATATTTTGCATTTCAATATCTAATCGAGATAAATTACTATTAACCTTATTTTCTTGTTTTAATTTTTCAATCAATCCAGGTTCGATAAGTATCATTTTCTTTGCATTTTCCATGTTAACTGGCTAGTCCACTCACTAATCCACTCAATATTGCACCTAATATTGTTGGTAAGAAAGCCCCTCCTTTTTGTATAATTATATTTTTTCTTAGTTTATGTTTACACTTACGTACTAGTTTACGGAGTATGTTTTTATGTTTAATCAATTTTTGTTTATCCTGATCTTTAAGAGGTACCTTTCCTTGTAAAACGTTATGAATACACTCACAAATACAGTTAATTTCTTCTTCATCACACGTTTTAAGTAATGCTCTTTGATATTTTGGTTTAAGCGTATGCAAAGCGGTTAGCAAATGTTTATACGTTGTGAGTCGACGATGCATCATTTAGCAATGATTTCAATTGTTTGATTCTTGGTGTATTTAAACTCTTTTGTGGGGACGTCTGTACAGTCTGTACAGAAACCATTAAATGGAAAGACATTTGTCTTGATACGACAAAAATCATTGGTATTCTGTTTTAAATCTACCATTAAATATCCATGCGCCTCTAGAGTTGCATCCCTGTAGGCATTTTCAATGAATTTTGGGTTATCTGGTGATACTTGTCTTGCTAAATATCTTATTTGAGTTTTATCTCGAGGGTTTTTAAAATATATTATATAACTTGAGTTTAAAGATATGTCTCTTTGTCCTTTACCCTGATGAAATAAATTTTGTGTTAGATAAAATACACTAAGATTCCTGTGATGACTACCTTTTGTAAATATATCCACAATTCTTCCATCGGACTCTCTCATTAGATCATCAATAATAACAAGATGTGGGTTTTCACCATCAAACATATTAAGATTTGGAATTCCTTGATGATAGTTAACATTTGGTAAATTATATAATGGTTGCATTTCATCAAAGCACCATGTGATCTGATTAAAATCACAATTACATATTTCTGTAACTGATTTTATGAAATTTGTTACAAAATTTGACTTCCCACACCCACTTGGTCCTGCCACAATAGCAGTGAACGGATGGATAAAGTGAAACATAACACACGTCTAAAGTTCAAAGGGGTGAAATAAAAAATGAAAGTGTTGGTGTAAACAATTAATATATATTCCAAAAATTATATAAAACAGAATTATCTGTATACTATTTCTAACACAATTAGTACATCATAATTTTACAATTAACTAAACCTCAAATAAATAGAAACAACAATTAGTACATCATAATTTTACAATTAACTCAACCTCAAATAAATAGAAACAACAATTAGTACATCATAATTTTACAATTAACTCAACCTCAAATAAATAGAAACAACAATTAACTTAAATTATTTACAATAAAACAATGTTTAAATATGTAATAAACTACGTCATATTATAGTATTATCATAATTTTACAATCAATATAAATTTTTCTTAAACGCAGACATAAAAGTAAAAATCAACACTTAACGCAGTTTATAATGACCCCAAGCTAATGTTTCAATATTATTATCTAAAATATGTCTCTTTGTGTCATTATATGATAAACCTATCTTATTTAATTTTTGTGTGAAAATTGTGTGTTTAATTGATTTAAATCTAAGCATACTATAATATTGCACTTTTTTATTAAATAGAGAAGACTTATAACTATTCATTGTCATCTTTTTAGTGATACATTTATTTACCCCTTTTGCCTTGGCTATAGTCTTATTCTCTAAGTTAAAAGCGTACATTTTGGATCGTAAACCCACAAATTCTTTCATGATTTTACCATTATTTTCATCTTTAAAAAAACCTAATTTCTTTTTATTTAATTTTGGATATTCAAAAATATTATTTGTATCATAATCTGAGGTATCAAAGTATGATGAAAGGTCAGGTTTTATATCAGTGTAAAAATCATTTGTAAATATATGATATATTAAACTATCCGTATCTGTATACAATAATTTGATTTTACTA